ACTGAAGGAAAGTTGGATCGGCAGCCTCGTTCGGATTTTAACCGACTTCCCAACGTCCATTGTTGTAGTCTCCACGTTTTATTTTCTTTTTTCTTTTTTTCTAGTATCCTCTCATTTCTGTTATTCTTACTCCTCGTCGTCGTCGTTGCCCACGTCATTTCCCATACACGACGGTATATGGTTCTTTCTTTTCCATCTAGATTTCCGTGTATGGTGAAATAATAATCCCATCTAATGACGTCGTAACATTGTCGCGTATAATACTTTGTTCCTAACCCAACTCTTTTTTTTAATTTCAATCCCCTTACCCCTACCCTATCCCTTCTTTTTCCATCTTTGGTTTGAGCTTCAATGGGTTCGGAATTTTTATTATTGTTGTTGTCTTTTTCTCTTTCTTTTGTTTCTTTTTCTTCAAAGAAGTTTCCAAAAAGGAGTTATTCAAGCTAACGAATAGTTTTATTCGATAATAAATAATAATATTTCGTTTTAATCAATGAACCTATTATTACTTACTGAATTTTGTTAAGTTTAACAAGCCGCATAATGAATTTTATCAGATTACAATTTAATCGACGTTGAGAGCTTTAGTCATCGCCGTATTATGATATTTTCCTTTCAAGGGATGCTCTCTTTATCGTTAGGAACGATCTTCTATAAAGAAAAATGTGATTAAGGTTAATTGCTTTTTCCTAAGGTAATACTTAACGTTGATAAATGCAATTAACATCGTCCCACTTGTACGATCCGTTTTTTGTTATCCGTGAGAACATTTTCTTACTCTATACTTATTATATTACTTAATACTTCTATCCTCTCGTTCGGTTTAATAAAATTATTATTATTGTTATTCTTATTATTACTATTATTATTACTATTATTATTGTTATTATCGAAAGTCTTGGAATACGTTGGATATAAAAATCTTAGCAGACTTTTCTTTCTCTTGCCTTCTTTTCTTTTTTTTTTTCGTCTCCCTCGCAACAGGTACAAATCGTAGATATGTATAAGAGAAAAAGCATGCGTTGAAACTTGTACCGGAGGTACTTGCATTTCTTCCGGCAGGTTGAAGAAGGCAACCGTAATCCGGCGAATTTCGAAGAATGGATCCCACGAGAGGGGCACAAGTATCCGTCACGGTGCTTGCCTTTAGAAGGAGTAGTCGTTGCATTTTCTCCTCTTTCGTCCTTTTTCGGGGGAGGGACTTTCGACTTCTCCCTTCAATTCCCAAGCTTTCCTTCCCGTTATATAGACTCCTAAGAAGAAAATATATAAGTATATGTATGTGTGTGTATGTCTATACATGAACGAGTTAACGAATGCATTCGCCTAATGTAAATTAAAAAGTGCGTGTTATGCGAATGTATGGTGTGGATAAGTATTCCCTTCTTTCTTTTATTTATTTTTTACTTTCTTGTTTTTTCTCTTTTTTCTTTTTTTTTTTTATTTTCTTTCCTCCAGCTCGGTCCTCTTCCGTGAGATCTTTCGAGTCCCCTCGATTCGTATCGCACGAGAAGTTTCTCGCGAATTTAAAAGGGCCGCCCTTCCGTATCTTTTCGACTACTTGCGCTCCCGTTGTAGACTTTTTAAAGTCCGTTGAATTTTCATCGAAAAACGTATCGCGTCGTTTGCGTATGCTTCTCGAAAATAAAAAGAAAAAAAAAAAAAGAAAAATTGAAAATCGAAAAGATAGAAAAAACAAAAAGAAGACAGATACAAGTCCAAATTTTCATATATAGAAATTATATCGATACGTAGAAATGTGCTTGATGATTGAAACGAATAAAATACGTTAAAGGGGAAATAAAATTTCTTTGATCGCTTATTTATTTCCTTTTTGCATCTTCCTCTCCTTTTTCCTTTTAGGGAAAGGAATTTTATCGGGACTTTTTCTTCTCTTCTTCTTCTTCATTTTTTTGATCTTTTTTTTTCTTTTTTTTTCTTTTTTTTTTTTTTTTTTAATATAAGTTCGGAATAAAAACCCAGAAATGCCTGAGGGAGATGAGAAGTCAAAAAGACGCGAAATCGATCGTAATACGATCGCGTGGAGTTTCACCTTTTTCCCCCTCTCTTTCTCCTTCTCCTTTCCCTCCTGCTCTTTTCTCCATTTCATCCCCTTCCTTCCATATCTCACACCATTCAATATCTATCCTTCGCTAATTTCAAATGCGAATTTGCGTGAAGGTAGACGAATGATATGATGTAGACTCGTCGAAAGGAAAAGAGTAAAAAAAAAAAAATGAAAAAAGAAAAAAAACTGGAAAAGAAGTGGGGAAAAGTAAGAGAGAAGAAGAGAAAGAGAAAAAGAGAGACAGATAGATAAATAGAAAGAGAGAGCAATGAAGAGATAGAAAGATAGATAGAGAGAGAAAGAGAGCGAAAGAGAGAGAAAGAGAGAGAGAGAGAGAGGAAGAGAGAGAGAAACACCGAATATCCCATAGGACCGAAACATTCAGTTCAGAGTTCTGAAGCTTTCGCGTACTCGACAGCGTGAGGGAAAATCAAGAAAGAGCGGCGGAGAGGTCGTTCGTTGATGGTTGTTAGAGAAGAGAGAGAGAGAGAGAGAGTGGGGGAGGCGAGAGAAAGAGAAAGAGAGAGAGGTTGTAGAGTGAGAGTGGAACGGGTCGGGACGGGGGATTAAATCGAGAGAGAAGCGACTTTAGTGGCTGAGCCTTCATGAAAGTACTCATTGAAACGGTTCACGGCAGTCTGACGTACGGCAAATCATTAATTGAAATTCCGTTACGCGAACGCCGCTCGTTCATTGCTTCCATGTATATGTATATGTATATGTGTATGTTTGCATCTGCGTATACATTGCACATCGACTTCTATGCTACTTTTACTTATCAGAGAGCAGACCAGATGATATTCCGTGTCGTTCTCTTATTAAAGTAAATCGGTAAGAGATCGAAAAGAGTGATAGAGATAGATAGATAGGTAGATAAAGAAAGAGAGAGAGAGAGAGAGAAAGAGAGGGAGAGAGAAAAGAAAAGAGAAAGGAGTGAGAGAAAGGGGTAGAAGGGTGACGGCTCTGGTAGCTCGCGTTTAATTACGCGACTATACGCTCACGCATCGCGCTTCATTTGATGTCTGTGCCTTTTTATCGGTGGGAAGAATGACTCTTCCACCCTATTAAAGTCAGTGGGGAATAAATCATTCGTGACGGCAAAGTAACGGAGATACGATCGTTTCGTTTTTCATTGAGATTCAATAGGAAATCTCTCTCTCTCTCTCTCTCTCTCTCTCTCTCTCTCTCTCTCTCTGTTTCTTTCTTCATACCGACGTGATACTCTCTCACTTTTTTCTCTCTCTCTGTGTCTATCTGTTTGTCGATATATAGTAAATAATAATGATAATAATAATAATAATAATAATAATAATAATAATAATAATAATAATAATAATAATAATAATAATAATAATAATAATAATAATAATAAGAAGAAGAAGAAGAAGAAGAAGAAGAAGAAGGAGAAGAAGAAGAAGAAGACGAAGAAGAAACAACGATAGCAATAATGATAATGATGATAACAACAACGGTAGCATAGTTAAAGTAGGAATAAGAGAGTGAATAAGAGGAAGAGAATGAAAAATAAGGCGAACGAGTGACGGCAATAAAAGTAATAACGGTAAAAATAATGAGAACAAATAAAACGAAGGCTAACGATCAAGGTCGGTCTAATGAGAAGTAGCAGCAGACAAGGGCGAGAAAGGTAGTGAGATGGTGGGAGTAGGGTGGTAAAGAGTGGGCGGAAGATTGGGTGGTTTTGATGGTCGTGGTGGTGGAGGAAGGAGGTGGAAACGGACGGGATAGAAAGATTGCAGCGAAGCAGAAGCTTCAACGTTTTCCCAGTCTGGTATTATCCTCCTATCTTCTGCTACATTTTCTCTCTTCTTTTCTCTTTACCTTTTTCTTTTCCCTTTCTCTTTCTCTTTCTCTTTTGCTCTCTTTCCCATTTCTCTTGTACTTTTTGAGGTAGAGCCTAGCGCACGCGACGGCCGTTATATGTAACAGTTTCTTTCGAAGTTTATTGTCGTTCTCTCTGTGATGTCGGCCTGGCCTTTTGAGTGACAGGGAAAATGGCACTTTTATGTTTCTCCGCTACCACCGCTACTACTACAACTACTACTACCACTACTATTACTATTACTGCTATTGCTACTGCTACTGCTACTACTAGCACCACCTACTGGCTCTTCAGTTGTGGTAGTGCTATTACTGTTACTGACGATGCTGCTCTCGCTTTTACTACTGTCGCTCACAGCAACTCTGTTACTGCTAATGTGTCTCGTAATAATTTCACCTGCTTAATGCAAGATACACCAAGTTAGTAGTAATGTTCGATAGAACAGTTTGTTAGACACATGTAACATGTACATATTACAGAGCGTGATATCAAACGAGATAAGTGTCCGCCATGATTGGTATCAAATCTTGCGAATTTTTTCTTTTCTTTTTCTTTGAAAAACATCGAGACAGGTCAATTTTGTTTTCGACTAGAAGGGGAGGATAAGTCCTTAGTCATTATCATAAATTCATCCCTACTTTGTGCTATCCAATCGGCTTCGATGGAAGAACTTAAGTACTGTATAATCGAAGAATGCTCCGTTGGATTATACAGGATTTATTATAAAATGTTCTACGTTAGACTGAACAAAGACTTTATAACTCCATTGAGCTCGGCGAACATTTCGTTTGATTTTGAACATTTCGTAAAATAAAAGTTGTTTTCAACTTGAAACTTCGAAACTATCGATGCAAAATTTGAAAAGAAAAATATAGCGCCATTATATAAAAAGGAATTAAAAGATCTTTAAAACGATACGCTCTTAGAGTCCTATTGGTATTTAAAACTTTTGAGGAAGTTTTTAAGCTTTTTGTTGAAGCACTCTACATACGTACGTATATATATATATATATATAAAAGGAATAAACATCTTTTTCATGTATGGGTATTTTTTTCTTCTTGTATATGGATTTTTTTCTCCTTTATTTACAG